ATGGGGGTTCATGGGATGAGAGGTGGAGCGGAGGCTTGCAGGAAAACATCTATGGAGGGGAATGATGTAGGGAGGGATGAGCAAGTCAGCTGCCAGTGCCAGTGGTAGCTGCAATGAGGCATCAAATAAAAAACGCAACAGGGAGACAATTCAGGAGATGCACTGAGAGAATCTTTAGAAAGTGGAGAAGCAGACGAGAACAGGGGAACTGGAACAGGAAGGGGCAGAGGAAAGTCTCAGAGTAGCACAGTGAGTCAAGCAAAGGCATACAGGGTGTTATCTATGTTGTGGGGCATAAACTTGTCTAGCCTATCACTAGACAAATATCACAAATGTATAAGTTGACACACCCCCAATTATAATCACAATAGGCTCAGATGTGCCTAAAATGAGAGAAATTGTGCACAGTCAGAATTCCGTTAGACAGCTTCAAATATTGATGCCGATCGGATCTATGCTTCAAACGGTGATCTGCAAATTGGATCTGGAGCTCCTTTCTGTCGCCTATCAGCAGCAAGTTGAATCATAAAATTCCATGAAGATTTGACGACGCTATGGCGGTTTGACTGGCAGGAGGTACAGTAGCCACTAAAGTCTTAGGAGTACAAACTTAGCAAGAAGAGTTCGAGGTAGTGATGGTTCCCAGCCTCTACATAACCCAAGAGCCAAGGTCCAAGTTGGTCGTACACCACCACAGAGTCCCCAACTATGAGGAGACTCGAAACAAACCCAACAAGGGGCTACACCAAGTGAAATGTAACACTACACCAAGTAGCATTACTATTTTCACAATTATAATCTTTGTGCACGTCCCTTGGGCTTGAAATCTTGAGCTCTTGGTCTTGATTCTGCAAGATAAATTATTCTTGAGTTGATGAGGGCTTGCTCCACACACCTGCGGCGCGATGGACACTTCACACTCAACAAAATAGAAAAACACATGCGACACGCAAACGACGACTTGACACGCGAGTTGTGAAAACTCGCTAATGTCTTGACTGACACAAACCACATTGTGATACACCATTCAAACACACACACAAGCACTAGATAGCAATGATATAGACTCACAAGTCATTCCATGCCATGCATGCACACACACAAACAAGGACGACAAGCCGAGTGCAAGCCATAGGGTTGCACCAACAAACTCCCCCTCGGATTGTTGGCCTTAGAATCTGCTGGCCTTAGAATCTGCTCTCCTTAGTTCAGAGCCATCCCAGCAAGCTTGCAACACTTCCAATGCTGCTGCTGAACCAGCCTCTTGGTCATCGTATCAACAGGCTGTGCCGTCGTCTTCACGTAGTGCAACTCCACTTCACCTGAGGTTACCATGCTCCTCACCCAATGCCACTTCACCTTCATGTGCTTGGTAAGGCCATGAAGAACCGGGTTCTTAGCCAATGCAATAGCACCCTGGCTATCACAATAGAGTGGGGTAGGTCCTTGCTGCTCCTCCCCCAATTCAGCTAGCAAACGCCGGTGCCACACAACCTCCCTTATGGCACGGAACAGTGCCATGTACTCGGACTCCACCGAGCTCAATGCTTGGTCCACTTGCTTCTTGCTCTCCCAAGCTGTTGGGCCTCCACCAACATAGCAGATGAAGCCTCCTACACTTGTCATATCCTCTGGTTCTGATGCCCAAGATGCATCAGAGAAGGCGGTGAGAAAGAGCCTCCCGGGTGCGACTCCATCCGCACCCTTTTGACGCCTTTGTGCCGCCGCGGAGGATTGCAGTCCAACAGTTGCTGTTTGGCCAAGGTACTTGGCCATCCTCTCTCCAGCTGCTACCTGCTCTTCATTAGGGCATTGGACAACCCTAGCCAGCTGCCCGGTAGCAAAGGCTGCATCCGGCCTTGTGTGCACGGCCGCATACATGAGGCTGCCCACTAAGTAGTGGAAACGCCGCCTCTCCTCTTCACCAACACTTTCCTCCGCTGGTCCTTTCACACACTGGAACCCTGAGGGAAGAGGAGTAGCCACATGACCTTCACTCTTCCCAAAGTTTGTAGCCAACGCCTCCAAGTACTTCTTTTGATGCACTCGCATCCACCGCTTCTCCACATCTTGCTCAATGTGAAGCCCAAGGTAGTAGTTGACGTCACCAAGGGTCTTGCACTTGAACTTGTCTTGAAGCTTCAGCATCACCTCCTTCACAAGGTCAGACGAGGGTGAGAATATGAGGATGTCATCCACATAAACCACCACGAAGCTCCTCTGCTCCCCCTCGCCAAGCATGAACAAGGATTGATCGGCCGTTGAGGGAGTGAAGCCGATCGCCTCCAAGACTTCCCGCAGCTTGATGTACCATTGCCTAGGGGCTTGCTTGAGGCCATAGAGTGCTTTCTTCAGCTTCCACACTCTGCCACTCCCATCATTGTACCCTTCTGACTGCTCCATATAGGTCTTTTCCTCCAAAACTCTGTTGCGGAAGGCTGTTACTATATCCATTTGCTTCACCACCCATCCTTTGATGGCCGCCGCGGCGAAGAGAGTTTGGAGGGTTGTACCCTTCGCCACAGGAGCATATGCTTCATTGTAGTCCTTCTTCTCCTGCTGCTGATACCCCTTGGCTACAAGTCTGCTCTTGTAGCGCTCAATGTTGCCGTCGGCGTCGGTCTTGCGCTTGAAGAGCCACTTGGAAGAGATCGCCTTACGCCCCGGAGGTAGGTTCACCAAGTCAAACGTGTCGTTCTCGATGATGCTCCCCATTTCTTCATCTGAGGCCTTCTTCCACTCCTTCTTATTGGGGCCCTCCCAAGCCTCCTTGGGATTTGTAGGCTCCCCCGGCATCTCCACTTGAGAGAAGAAGGCAAAAGCACACTCCTCGCTTTCATCTTCCGCATCATCGCCTAGCATGGGAGCCGAATCGGTCAAGGTTGAGTTGGCTTGTCCTCCAAGCTGGTCATAGCTCAACCGATTGGGGGGCTGAGTCCTCCTTCTCCCCCTTCCTTCCTCCTCTGCTGCAGGGAATTGAATGCTCTCATGGCGTTGCGGTAAATCTGGTCGGTTCCTGCGAGCACTTGTAGCACGAGGTCGACGTGACGGTGCACGCTCATCACCTTGCTGCACCTCAACCTCCTCCTCATCCTTTTCACCTTTCACTGGTCCTCCAAGCCGTTCATAGCTCAACCTTTTAGGGGGCTGAGTCATCACAAATGTATAAGTTGACACACCCCCTAGGCTAGATAAGGGCAGTGCCTAGCAAGAGACTAGAATCCCTTTCCGTGCCATTTGTGAGTGGGGACAAACAAAGGGGCGGGGTAACCGGGAGACCTCGGTGAGGAAAGTGGGTGTAGAAGGACACTAACTCATCAAAGGTGATGTTACGTGAGTGAAAGAAGCGGTGAGATGGCGGGTGGTAGAAGTGCCAGCCAGAGACGTCCAGGGGGAAGCCAAGGAAGACGCTGGAGACGGTGCGGGCAGTGAGCTTGTCCGTGCGAGAGTCGCGGACGTGACTAAGGCTACCCCAGACGTGAAACGCAGACGCGTCACCAGGGGACCCAGTCCAAAGAAGGGTCGGCGAAACCTGTGGCTGCTGGGAGTGTGGCCGAGGTTCTGAAGACAGCCAACACCAACTAGATTTCTGGAGAACGAGAGGATGTGCAGACCTGTAAGAGAACCCAAGGGAAGTATAGTGGAGCTACATGCAACTACCGGACCAGAGGGGGATTCAGCAAGGGCGATAGCAGCTAGGGCGGCAAGCGGCGTGAGAGCAGTGTGGTCGCGGAAGAAGCTGGCGGACGCACCAGAGTCCAGCATGAAGGAGAGCACGGGGGTAGCGTCGGCCAGTGGGGGCATTTGCATGGAGCCAAGGCTAAACAAGTCAAGAGGCCCTATGCTGAACGCAACAGCAGAGCCTAGACTACACTCAGACGACACACCTAGGCTAGGCAACATAAGGTTATAAGGTCCAATTACATTAGAGTCAATAGGATACATGGCATACATGCAGTGACGGAAACAATTGTCCAGATGTTTTGCACTAATTAGGGTTTTTGGGCTTTCTGACCACTGTACATAAAGTCTTAATGTTTAATGGTGGTACGCTTTTGGAGGGGCACATAGTGGATGTGTTCATAGTGCAAAAATCCATAACAGTACACTGGATCTAACCTAGTGCCAAAAGATATACAAAGAGTACATCCAGACAATTGTTTCCCAGGAGAAAGAGCAAACTTCCGAACAGCATATCTACTACCTAGTCCATCGACCCTTGTCCTTGATCACCTCCCGCACCCTCCTAGGCATGTTGTCTACGAGGTTAGTGCAAACCTTTGCAGGGAACTTCTAGCAGTCTTCTTGGACCCACCCTTTTGCATAAGGGGGTGAGCACTAGGAAAATCGCAAAGGATTTGAGCGTATGCAAGAGTTTTGTGCACAATTTCCGATTGAATGTTATTTCCGAGACTAGCCACGCCGAGGTGTGGCCAAAGATGCCATTAGCCGATTGGTTCTGTCATATCATGGGTCATCTTTGTCGTACCGCTGTAGGGTAAAACCACGAACAGAGCGGCGTATATGCTGCGAAATTGAGGGTAACATAGCATGGTCGATTGTGCACCCTTGCACTATTAGAATCACGCTAGGATTTGCAGGAATCGTTATGGTGCAGCAGTCAAAGAAGCCTCGATTGGTGGGGAAGAATACCTGGGTTGAGGTCTCGTGAGGAAAAGGGTCACTCTAGTGCAACATACTCAAGCTCTCCAAGCCATTCCAAGCCATTTGTCCCGCCTAGGCTTGGAATGGCTTGGAGAGCATGAGTATGTACAATGGCAGGAAAAATTGTCCGAATGTTTAGCATGTTTTTGCATTTTGACGAGCTGTACGCAGTAAACATGAAGCCTTAATCTGTGGTGGCCATACACGTAGAGAAGAGCAGTTAGAGAACTCACTCAAGTCTCCTAAAACCAGAGTAGTATAGTACATGGTCCTTCAACACGACAACATTTAATAACAGCACATCCGGACAATTTGTACTGAGGACAGGCAGAAAACTAGTTACTAGCAAAACTAGTACCTAGTCCAGCGTCCCTTTGCGCGGATTACCACCTTGATCCTCCTTGGCATACTGTCGATGAGGTTTGAGCACACTTCCAGGTTTGAGCATCCTCCTCTCTCTCCATCTCTCTTCTTTATCTCTCTCTCTCTCTCTCTCTCTCTCTCTCTCTCTCTCTCTCTCTCTCTCTCTCTCTCTCTCTCTCTCTCTCTTTCTCTCTCTCTTTCTCTCGCTTTCTCTCTCTCTCTCTCTCTCTCTCTCTCTCTCTCTCCCTCTCTCTCTCTCTCTCTCTCTCTCTCTCTCTCTCTTGATCTCTCCCTCTCCCTGTTTCCCTCTCCCTCTCCCTCTCTCACTCACTCTCTTTCTCTCTTTTTCTCTCTATCACCCTCTCTCTCTCTCTCTCTCTCTCTCTCTCTCTCTCTCTCTCTCTCTCTCTCTCTCTCTTTATCTCTCCCTATCTCTCTCTCTCTCTCTTATTTTTCTCTCTCCCTCTCTCTCTCTCTCTCTCTCTCTCTCTCACTGTCTTTCTCTCCTTCTCTCTATCTCCCCGCCCCCCCTCTCTCTCTCTCTCTCTCTCTCTCTCTCTCTCTCTCTCTCTCTCTCTCTCTCTCTCTCTCTCTCTCTCTCTCTCAAGCGGTCCTTGTCATTGAGATATCCTGGGTACAACTAAGCAACAGCATCCCTGCTGGAAAGAGGGTGTGGGCACCCAAGGCCCGCAAGCTCCATCACCACCTGCACCTCCTCTCTCTTCCCCCCTGCCCACCAGGTCTTCCACATCTAAAGTCCCCCACAGGTCCCCAAGGGAGGGAGACCAGGGGTCACCCCGAGGTGGCAGGTATGCGGCCTGTTGAGCCGCCCCCGACCTAGTAATGAGAGTGCTGGCTTGCAACCTATGCAGTAGTACCGCCCAGCGCTGCCGGAACTGGGAGTATAGCTTTTCGGTGGGGGTGGAGAGCGGACTGGCCCGGAACCGACACAGCGCTGCATGGTTCGCCATCATCCAAAGACATCGTGCTGTGGCCGGTGTGAGAGCCCCATAGGTCTCCACCGCCAGGGCGAAGAACCCCACCCAGTCCGGCCGATCATTGTATACTCTTTCCTTGGCCCGCGCCGCCTCCAGTGCTGCCCATCCCGGTAATCCCCCTGCGTCTGTGTCTCGCCGCTGTAGGACCGGGTCTGTCACTGTGACGTCTGTTACCCAGGTCTCCCCACTCTCCATGTCCCGGATTGCCAGGTCTGCTCGCTTCCGGTTGGTGGGGGTCGTGAAGTGGGTGGTCTCATGGTAGGTGTAGTACTTGGCCTCGCGGGCTATGTGCAGGACCGAAAAAACCAGGGCATCGTGGAGGCGTTTCACATAGCCTCCACGCTTGCACCGGAGGATGTGGTTGGGCAGACTGGGATCCGGGATGTGGTCCCCGCATGAGCAGCCACCGGATAGTGGCTGGGGTAGGCCCATCCTAAAAGCCAGTGCTGTGCTGAACTCCCCTGGGGAGAAGGTCAGGTCCGGCCGAGTGGGGATAGCGAGCAGCCAGTCCCCTGCCCCTATTCCCCGCAGCGCCGTCAGTCGAGTGCCATGGGCGTTCTCCTTGCCCGACCCATCCAGTAGGGTGTCTGCGAACAGTTCTTCCGCGCGTAAGTGGTTGATGTCGCGGGAGAGCCGCTCCTGCAGCTGTCCCCTGGGGTGTGTGGAGCGGGCTTCTGACAGGGTCAGCCTTGCTTCCAGGTCTCGGATGAGGGCGTGGTGTGGTAGGTCCCCCTCCGCTCCCGCCTGCATGTGGGTGAGTACCGCTCGTAAAGGTCCATCCGGCGGTTTTAGGGTGGTGAGGAGGTTTGTTGCGGCCAGGAGGGAGGCGATGTTATAACCACAATAGGCTGAAATGTGCCTATAATGAGAGATAGAGAGCACAGTCGGATTTCCGTCAGACGGCTTCAAATATTGATAACGATCTGGTCACTGAATCAAACGGTGATCTATAAATTGGTTCTGGAGCGTGTTGCTGTCGTCTATCAGCAGCAAGTTGAATCATAAAATTCCATGAAGATTTGACGACGCTATGGCGGTTTGACTGGCAGGAGGTATAGCAGCCACTATAGTCTTAGGAGTACAAACTTAGCAAGAAGAGTTCGAGAGGGAGATGGTTCCCAGCCTCTACATACCCCAAGAGCCGAGGTCTAGGTTGGTGGTACACCACCACAGAGTCCCCAACCATGAAGAGTCTCGAAACCAACCCTCCAAGGGGCTACACCAAGTGAAATGTAACACTACCCGAAGTAACGTTACTATTTTCACTATTTAATATTTATCCGCGTCCCTTGGGCTTGAAATCTTGAGCTCTTGTTCTTGGATCTGCAAGATAAATTCTTCTTGAGTTGATGGGGGCTTGCTGCACACACCTGCGATACGATGGATACTTCACACTCGACAAAATAGAAAAAACACATGCGACACACAAACGACGACTTGACATGCGAGTTGTAAAAACTCGCTAATGTCTTGACCGACACAAACCACATTGTGATACACCGTTCAAACACACACAAAAGCACTGGATAGCAATGACATATAGTCACAATTCATTCCATGCCATGCATGCACACACACAAACAAGGACGACAAGCCGAGTGCAAGCCATAGGGTTGCACCAACAAACTCCCCCTCGGATTGTTGGCCTTAGAATCTGCTGGCCTTAGAATCTGCTCTCCTTAGTTCAGAGCCATCCCAGCAAGCTTGCAACACTTCCAATGCTGCTGCTCAACCAACCTCTTGGTCATCATATCAGCAGGTTGTGCCGTCGTCTTCACGTAGTGCAACTCCACTTCACCTGAGGTTACCATGCTCCTCACCCACTGCCACTTCACCTTCATGTGCTTGGTAAGGCCATGAAGAACCGGGTTCTTAGCCAATGCAATAGCACCCTGGCTATCACAATAGAGTGGGGTAGGTCCTTGCTGCTCCTCCCCCAATTCAGCTAGCAAACGCCGGTGCCACACAACCTCCCTTATGGCACGGAACAGTGCCATGTACTCGGACTCCACCGAGCTCAATGCTTGGTCCACTTGCTTCTTGCTCTCCCAAGCTGTTGGGCCTCCACCAACATAGCAGATGAAGCCTCCCACACTTGTCATATCCTCTGGTTCTGATGCGCAAGATGCATCATAGAAGGCGGTGAGAAAGAGCCTCCCGGGTGCGACTCCATCCGCACCCTTTTGACGCCTTTGTGCCGCCGTGGAGGATTGCAGTCCAACAGTTGCTATTTGGCCAAGGTACTTGGCCACCCTCTCTCCAGCTGCTACCTGCTCTTCATTAGGGCATTGGACAACCCTAGCCAGCTGCCCGGTAGCAAAGGCTGCATCCGGCCTTGTGTGCACGGCCGCATACATGAGGCTGCCCACTAAGTAGTGAAAACGCCGCCTCTCCTCTTCACCAACACTTTCCTCCGCTGGTCCTTTCACACACTGGAACCCTGAGGGAAGAGGAGTAGCCACATGACCTTCACTCTTCCCAAAGTTTGTAGCCAACGCCTCCAAGTACTTCTTTTGATGCACTCGCATCCACCGCTTCTCCACATCTCGCTCAATGTGAAGCCCAAGGTAGTAGTTGACGTCACCAAGGGTCTTGCACTTGAACTTGTCTTGAAGCTTCAGCATCACCTCCTTCACAAGGTCAGACGAGGGTGAGAATATGAGGATGTCATCCACATAAACCACCATGAAGCTCCTCTGCTCCCCCTCGCCAAGCATGAACAAGGATTGATCGGCCTTTGAGGGAGTGAAGCCGATCGCCTCCAAGACTTCCCGCAGCTTGATGTACCATTGCCTAGGGGCTTGCTTGAGGCCATAGAGTGCTTTCTTCAGCTTCCACACTCTGCCACTCCATCATTGTACCTC